AGGCGTGGATATGTGCTGGGAATGTCATCCCAGAGGCTTTCGTACAGGTGTCTGTTCACTAGTCAGTCCTAGGATGGGATGAAAAAGGCGAAGAGGTGGTCATTCCATGACATGGCGTCGTGGGGTGAAGGATGTTTGTGCTAGATTAGCATCGGTTGGTGCGTCACAACTCCTTGGTTGGGGCCCACGAGACAGCTCGAATCGATGGCTTGAAACGTTATCGGATATGGCCGAGAATCGCAATTGTCAATGGTGAAGGTGTTGCAGTTTTCTTCTTTCTTCCCTTCTCGATGATAGTTGACGAATACTGTTTGAACTTAAGTAGTATGACTGTTTTCCTTCCCAATGAAGTTCTTTATCCGTTCTCTACTTATGTATATTTTTTTTCTGTTTTTTCTTTTTTTGCTTTTGATCTATGTTGTTTTATTATTATTGTGTGGCGCATCTTCCTTGGTTCCATATTGTACCAAGTTTTTAAGCGTTTTAATAAATAAATAATAGAGTTCAAATTTAGCTTTGAAACAGTTACAGTTACCAGGGTAGGGAGAGATTTATCATACTGTCTTACTGTGTATTCCTATTATAAGCATATAAAATATCGAAGTTGCTGTGATTATATATATATATATATATATATATATATATATATATATATATGCGCCGGTGGCACCAGTGGTTAGGACTCTCGCCGATCATGCACATGGTCCGGGGTTCGAGCCCACGCCTACGCACACCTGATATCTATGGTCGGCCTGCGAATTTTGGGCTACCGATATCCACGCTGAAAATCCCATACTTGTCCCAAAAATACAGTGTGGAATCAAGCTGTAATCAAAAATAAAAAAATAAAATAAATAAATATATATATATCCGTGTACATAGATTATTCAGTTGATGAATTCATTAAATCATCCTGCTGTACTAACCATTATTGCTTGGTGTGATTAGTTCACTAAGTTAATTTTTTATTTTCTGTTGATTGATTATGTTGGTCCGAAACCCCCGGTGTCTGTGTTAACATGTCAGCTCCTATAGCTACTGAAACTCTGATGATATCTAAGGTCAAATATTAAGTTATTTTTTATCCTGGTTACTACTTGCATTCGAATACTATCCTAGGATGGATGTGCTTTACACAAGGGCCTAAGTGGATAACGTTTCGATGTTTGAAACAATAGCCTTCAAGGTTTTCGGTTTGAGTCGTAATGGGAATACCATCATCAATACTCACATTGGAAACGCAGGTACACCCGCACTAACTGACGAGTTTCAAAATAGGACGAAGTATGCATCCTTGAGTCTACTGCTGATCTCTGGCTACTAAAATATGTTGCACTCACTTCTTTGTGTATGTGTGTGTAGGAAGGGAGAGAGAGATTCTCTGTTGATATGTTGCAATGTTTTACGCACTTCGCTTACGCCTCTACACAAAGTAAACCAATAGATAATGTTTTAGAACTAATAAAAAGACGTTTGGCAATGTGTACTGGTGAAGTTTTGTCATTTTATCTATTTTCGTATATGCATCATCCGTCGTATTTCAAATACCGCGCATGGATTTGACACTTAAACAAGAATGAATTTCTTCTGTTTTTTTTATAAAACCGCTTCATTTTGTGTAAAGTATCATGATTTTTCTGCGTCTTTAGTGTACCTTTTATTTTTCTATGACGGCTTGTAATCGTAATTATTAAGTTAGTTTAAATTTCAGTTTGATATTGGCCTTTAAATGAGTAGAGTTTTCCATCCATTTCAATCAGATATTGATCGAGGTCTAAGGATGAACAGTTTGTTTGAAATCGATCCCAGATCGATATCAGTTGGAAGAGAAACTGAGCAAAACTGAAAAAAATCGGGGAGTACAGAGGACAGCACTTTTGTTCTAGTTTGGGATTCTTGAAATGTATACACTTATGTCATGACCCCTCGGATAGGCATTGAGCTCCAAAAACCTTCGGGTTACGCGGCGAGCTAGTCGACCGACCATCCACTTAGTCACTGGAACGAAATCAAATGATTGCTAACTTTTGTCGTTTATTGGCTCTCATTCAATGTAAAAATTTTGTGATTTCTTTGAATCTACTTCACTGATTTTTAACAACATATCTGATACCTTCAGGTTTTTAATCAGCGTATAGAGAGAGAGAGAGCTCTAAGCTTTCACTCAGAATCTTAATTTGTTGAAAACTTACTGTCTACTACATGTTCTAGTTTACTGAATCTATCTGTCTGTTTTCGACATAAAACGTTGCACCGATGTGCACCAGTTCAAGTCGCCACACGCCCTTCATGAAGCACACAAAGAAACAGAAGAAAGTAAAAAGAAATGCATAATAGAGACAGTAAACAGAAGTGTGAGACAAAAGGAATAGTAATACCGAAGAACAATATAGTTTCATTGGAAATTATAAATCACAAGGAGTAGATGCACCTGCGTCAGCCATTGAGAACGATGAGTTTGAGCCATGTCACAAATTGTCTGCAGCTGTCATGGGTTTCTACCGACCCGAGAAACCCAACCAAGAAGTCTACACCTACCCATGTCACTGGCTGGCTTAAACTAACTGTTGTTAATTAGATTTCGTTTTCGTTCAGCAGTCACTCACTTGTAGAAACTTGATAGCTGACCGTGGGTTTCCTGTGGATTGACTTTTTTAAGGCTCCGTTAGGTTGTTCGTAGTTAGTTCCTCTTCAAGGAAGGAAATTTCGGGTTTGCTTTTTTTTTTATTTTGTTTTGTTTTCAAAAATGTCTGGATGGGGATTATTCACGAATTACGTAGTCTATAAAGAAAGCATCGGTTGGGTGGGAAAGGTTTCTGTTGTGAATGCCAAAACTGGACGTTTCATCCTAAGATCTATGAAGCCTATAACAGCAAAACCAGTCGAATACTTTGCCCTCTCCACCCGACCCCCCCCCCAAAAAAAATAAACTCCTCTGACTGAATATTCAGTTCAGTTGGAGACTCATCAGCAAGGAATACTCAGAAACCGTTTGTCTCGTTTATTGAAAAAAGTCTTTGTAGATGAACTCCGATTTATTTTCTTTACATAACCAGTGATTTTTGTGAAAGTGTAGGCTAAGCTATCACCACTTGCCTCATTAACGTTTGTCTATCAATTCACCAACTCCTCTAGGGCTAGCCAAGTCAGCCGTACTCAGTGTATTATACTCATGGCTTTACAAAGGAGGAAAACATCTCCCCACAGTTGTAATAATCTTGAACACCTGATCGATTCTGGACACCAAGTCCAAAGTCATGTAAGTGGAAGTCTTATCAAAGAACCACGAACCAGAAGTTTTTAAACCACAGAAGCTATGGGAATCCAAATCCTGAATCTCGAACTCCGTATTGTAAAAATGTTTGTTCAGTTATTGAACCTACAGTAGTCCTGATTTGACCCAACAATTGTTCTTCTATATTACTTTTCTATTGTTTTTTTTCCTCAGACTTCTGTTAGTTAACTCTCTTTTGAACCTTACCTTTACTCTCCTCACTTGCTTTGTGTGCTACATGTAGGGAGAGTGGCAACTCCGAAGTGCTGCACTTCTATGTCAAGTTCTATGTTGAAACCAGTCAGTCAATATTTCATGCGTAATTTTTGTTAATCCTAATATTTCTAAAAGTTTCTTCCTTTCCCATTACTATATTTCAGCTCCTTATGTTGTCATTCATCTTAACTTTTCATCCTCTTTCAAATTTTGACTGAGCTCTGTTGGATCCTGTCACGTTACCCAATTTATTGGTTTAATTTTGTTTTAGTTTGTACCTGATTCACGTGCCCTGTATTACACAATTGTTATTAAAGATTTTTACAATTCTAATGATATATATTTAGAACCACATTTCTTTTGTTGCTATGATAATGCACTGTTTATGTGTAATTTTGTTGCTTGAGAATGATATAACTGTACATAGTAACTCTTTGCTGAACACCTCTTCGTATTATGTCATCTTAACTTACTTTACTCTGTTCCTTCAAGTTCCGAGTGGAACATAGGGCTTCAAGCCATAGTTTTGAAGTTTCAGTAGCCCGCTCCGTCCTCTTTTATGGCTGTGAGCGAGACATGGTCATTGAGAGTGGAAAACATGAAAAGATTAGCTGTCTTAAATCATAGGTGCATGCGTTCTATCTCCCTTGTGAAAAGGTATAATAAGGTGACCAATATTGAGGTTAGGTGTTGAGTATCAGCTAGGTAAGGAGGGGAAATCATTCGACGAGGCTGTGAAGCTACATCGACTCCGATGGTTAGGGCATGTGTTATGCACTCATACCTAGCCATTGCCTTCGGCGACGGGCAATGTTAGCTGACATAGGGTCAGGCTGGAAAACAGTTAGGTAGTGGTAGTCAAGCGAAAACATGGCTTCGTAAGTCAATGAAAAAATCCACAACAGTTAGTTTAAGTTGGCCATACAGGGACTTGTAGACTTCCTGACTGGTTGGGGTCCTCAGGACGGTAAAAACCAACGACTGGAAACAATTGGTGATATACCTCAAATAGTTCTCAATGGCTGGCACAGATGCATCCACTCCTTGTGACTTATGATTTCGAATGAAACTATATAGTTCTTCATTATTCCTATTCCTTTTGTCTCATATCCCTGTTTACTGTTTCTATTATGCATTTCTTCTACTTTCTTATGTTGCTTTGTGTTTTACGTGGATGGAGTGTGGCGACTTGAACTGATGCACATCGGTGGGAAGTTCTATGTCGAAAACAGACAGACAGACTGTTTTGGTGGCAGTATTATATTAATACGGGATAGGGTTACAAGTCTCATGCGTTACCTTCCCTCTTTACTGGCGCCTTGCTACTGGCTTTGAGAGTTTTAAGAATGCGTCGGTGACCCGGGTATCTAACTTCAAATCACATGAGGCGTGGTTGACGAACGTTCCACTAGTGAATCACCTACTCACTTTTTCATATTTCATATTCTTTCATTATTCTTGTTATATGAAACTTTTGTGTGTGTTTTTTCCTCTATTTGTTTTTTATCAGGCCATCAGATAGTGCATCTCACTCTACGCCTGCTTCAAGTCCGTTAACTGATGTCACACAAGTGCCAAATGTCTCTTTGAGTGATCAGTCCCGATTGGATTCATCCGCTGAACAGAAGCATCAACATAAAAATCATCAATACCAACCGATAAATGGTATGTCATGCCTAAGGGGTAGACATCAGTCGACACCAGTGAAAACACCTCATCCTGTCTCTATACGTATGCTTGATCGACCTGATTTCCATCTGGCTATGTCGGGTAAAACTTGGGCTATCATACGAGAACATTATCCTTGGCTTATACCGAAGGTAAGTAATAATCGCTGTACATTTGCATCTTGAAATCGTCGTATTTGATGAAGTACTGTGATGTTATGTAGTGTCTAAATTCGTATATTTATTACAATATGTATTCTAGTAACATACATGTTTCGTCCTAGTTTACTACTCTTCATCAGTACGATCCGACTGAAGTTTGATCTCGAGAGCTTTCGGTTACAAAGCGAGCTTCTGGACCAGTGATCCGTTGAGACCCTGTCCAGTGATTCATGAATTTCAACTCCCGCCAATTCGCCATGTGTATAGCGCGAAAGCCAACCAATGTGATGGGGGGGGGTATTTGTTCTCTTACCTAACTTGATAGACCCAGTTTGTTACGATTTCTTACTAAAACTCCAGGTAACTACTACCTGTATATAGCCAGTCACTGGTGAGCATCAGATTAATTAGGGAATATTACTTTCTAGGGATCTGATGAACGTAGACTAGCGGTTGCGCCATACATATAACTAAGTGGCAAGAGTTGGAATTCATGGGGTGTTTGGTCGGGTCCTACTAACTGAGTGGTCTAAGATCTCCTCGCCTTGCAGCTGTAATGCTCTGGGTTTGAACCCCATTGGGGACGTGCTATTGACGAGTTCCATTCTAGGACGAAACGGATATCCCCAGCACTCCCACGTTTTCCAGTGGTCCTCTAATTGATGTCAACTGGTGATCAGACCTATAACCAGTCAAATACCTGTGATTCAATACTCCTTTGTGTTCCGAGTGAAACATATGACTCCAAACTTTGAAGTCAGGGTAGCGGTGGTCTTATTTCTATAAGGTGTGTTTGCTAACATCAGGCTCAAACTTCCTTTTTGGGTATTTTACCAGCTACTAGAATAGGCGAGGTTTAGGAGTACGTCGTCTGGGAATTGAACAACCTGGTTCTCATGCGAGGTTAGCGAGAGTTCTACCCCTGAATCACCGACATGCCCAAAAAAACAATTCGTTACGAACGAACATAAGTCAGCAATTTTGATTGGACACTAGTTAAATAATGTGACGTGTCTAGCACCTTTCTTTGGTGCAGACTGAATTCTGTCAGTCAGCAATATTTCTAGTCATAATCATTTAGGTTATTTAAGTGCTGGTTGGTATGCAGGGATTTTATTGGTTTTCAGGATTTCATCATGAACTGGAATCGGTTAGAAAAACCATTGGAAAATCTGCAGGGAGTACTGGACAGCAGTTTCGTTAGCCTAGTTTTGGACTCTTCATCAGTACACGCACCCACTAAGGTTCGAACTCAGAACCTTCTGGTTACTAGACGAAGTCGTGTACCATTCAGCCACTGGGACTTGATTCAATGGTTAGCCAATGAATTCCACCTTCTGCCACTAGCGAATTTCATTGGTGACGAGTATTTGTCATTACACACGACCTATTGTACCCCAGTCGTCACGATTCCCCCACTAGAACCCAGATAACCGCCTACTTGAATAGAGCCAGTCACTAGTGAACATCAAAGTGATATTTAATTGATGTTGTCGCACAAGTGACGTTCACACTTATTCCTAAGTATATGTGCTTTCATCCTTGTCCAGTATGTGTATGTGCCTAAATGATCAGACAAGTGTACTGATAGTGTCTAAATTAAGTGAACCTACGTAGGAAAATGTGTTTTTTTGAGTTTTGTAGAGACACTTCGTTTTCATAAATACCAGCACATCAGAAATCCAGATTGAGGATTATCGTTTAACTCTCCCTTGAAACTCATTTAATACTCTACTTTCTAGGTAAATAAGCATTTTCCATTCGTATGACTTGAGAATATTTCTTCATTTAGTGATGACGACTAACTTTAGAATTCAGAGTGTTCAACAGAAATCGATGAGTAGTCTGAAATAGTGTAATTCTAAGAAATAGAAAATGTTCCTCTGTCTAGTTTGACTCTGGTTAATGCTGTTAAGTGGAACAGGTAATACAGAACATGTTGTTGTATGGTTTTGAACTCAATTAGTCCCCTGTTTTTGGTCAATGGGACACTTAACAGGGCCTCAAGCTTCAACTTCCACGCCTCATTGTCAGTGATGTCTGTTTTTACGGGATTGGGTTATAAGCCGTCGCTTTTCTCCTGGCTTATTATTGGCTTGTGAGCTAGGTGGGGTTTAAGAGAACATGTCGACCAGGAATCGAATCCTCACCATCGCCTATGTGTGGTTTCAGAACATTCTACTGTTGAATCACTGACGATGCTGCTTACCCCCTTTCACTTATTAATCTCTTTTGATTAGAATTTGAACAATATAAGTATAAAACTTTGGGACTGTGATGGTAAAGTATAACTCCATTATGGATAAGATTTTATTTTGATAAAGTGTCACACAGTGGTGTTATACAGTAATATTAACTGATGACCACCTTTCGAGCACAATACATTGCTACTCATAATCATATCAAGTCACTCACTCACTCACTCACACAACTTTTTTCCATCATTTATATACATGTGTGTAATCAATAAGGTATTGGAATAAAAATCAATATAGGATAATGTGCATTCAGAAATAATAATATGAGTGTTATTGATTAAATGCAATCAGATGGGAAATAAGACCAGTGTTTTTATAGACATCAGTAATAAGTAACTTGTTAGAATGTTGTGATGTACGTGAATTGAATTGAAATAGAATATTTATGTTATTTATTGTCATCCTCTGATTTGCGACTGACTGACTGGTGGTAATATTATATTCCATGCATATCTCTGATATTTGCATTGAGTCATTTCTGTTGCGTGTGTCGTGTTGGGTGTAGACTCGATGAACCAGGCAGGATTCAGTAATCAATCTTTCTTTCTCTCCACCTAACTATATTACTTCTTAGAATCTTAACCCTCTTCCACCACCCTATTGTGTTGTTGTGTGTTAATGCATGCATTGCAATCGCTGAGCTATTTTCTAAATTACTCATCTCTCCGGAGTCAACCATTCTTACCCTAGCTAAATTCTTATGTTCCGACAATCTGACTACTCCCAACCTACTAGTTTGACCTATATAGTTGAACTAACTCACAGTCATTGCCAGGTAATTTGTAAATTACATTGTTTTGTTTAATTGAGTCCACGGGGTCTTTTAGACTACAGAGCTTATCTCTGAGTGAGTGAGTTTGTAGGTTTGAATGACACCACCCTAATTCCTGCTTTATTAAGAATCCCACGTAGGGAGAGTCTCAGATGTCCTCTCCTTGTATGGCATAACAGTGGAAGATTTATATTCTTACTTATTTATGTTATCATTACTAGTTTCACAATTATTTTTATTTTTACCATACATTTACGCAAATGAAGTAAGAAAGGTGTGTGAATGAGTGACTTGATGTGATTATAAGCAATAGTTTGTGCTCGAAACGTCATCAGTTAGTATTACTGTATAACACCACTGTGTGATTTATCAAAATAAAATCTTATCCATAATGGAGAACAAATTAGTAATTACATTTCATATTCTAAGTTTTATTGTCAAGGGGAGTTTATATATATATATATATATATATATATATATATATATATATATATATAATGTGTAAAATAACAGTTTTCAAAATGTTTTTAATCCCTGTTTCCTGGTATGTACAGATATGAGCCTATTTTATGCGGCATACATACTCAGCTTATCATATTTTAAAACCAAACAAATATTTTAATCATTTTTTGATATCAATAATTTAGAATGAAATCTTACTTCTGGTGTATACACCTTGATTTCAATGTTTCGTAATGTGGTCTGTCAGTTATCGTATGTGTGTGATAGGAATTGTTACTTCTCATATTTCTAATATGTATTTTCTGTGTATAGTTTTTTTTTTTTTGAAAAAAGATAGCAGGTTTGATAAGTTCCTTGTTATTGAATTCGTTTTTATCCCGACAGTTTAAACATTAGGTTCTAGTGCTTTTCCTGGTTAGATCATGGATGGATATCCGTTAGAGGGAAAAGAGCACTGAAAACCAGAGTGTACAAATGGATCACTGTTTCATCCTAGTTTAGGATCTGAAATGTGGAATAAGGTAGAAAGGTTAATTCCATTATGGAGAAAATTTATTTTGATTAAAGTCTCACAGTGCGTCGGTGGCACAGTGGTTAGGACTCTCGCCGACCATGCACATGGTCCGGGGTTCGAGCCCACGCCGACGCACACCTGATATCTATGGTTGGCCTGCGAATTTTGGGCTACCGATATCCACGCTGAAAATTCCAAAAATACACTGTGGAATCAAGCTGTAATCAAAAATAAAAATAATATACATTAAGTAATATTTACTGATGACGACGTTTCAAACACAATTTACTGTTCAAGTATTGGTTTTGCAGGGATTTGGTTGATTGGTCACAGGATTTCATCATGAGCCGACATTGGTTGGAGGACCATTGGAAAACCTGCGAGTACTGGATATTTGTTTCGTCCTAGTTTGGGGCACTTCAGAAGTACGCACCCGCCGGACTTCGAACCCAGGACCTTCTCGTTACAAGGTGAGCTCGCAGACCGTTAAACCATTGGGACCCGATCCATGGCCCTAGTGACCGGTAGGGTGCAGCAGGTCGGGTGTGACGGCAAATACTCGCCACCGATGACATTGGCTAGGGGTCGCGCAATGTCATGAATTGGCGGAAGCTAGAATTCATGAGCCATTGGATCGGGTTCCAGTGGCTCAATGGTCTACGATCTCGCCTTGTAACCAGAAGGTCCTGGGTTCGAACCGTAGTGGTGGGTGCGTACTGATGAAGAGCCCCTAATTAGGACGAAACAGCTTCCCGGTACTTCCAGGTTTTCTAATGGTTGTCTAACCAATGTCAGTTCATAATGAAATCCTGTGACAATTTACTGTTGCCTATAGTCACATCAAGCCACTCACTCACACAACATTCTGATTGTGTGTTGATTTAATCCAACTCTATATCTCATCTCTTCATTCGATTGTCGTAATCATTATCTGCCATATATCTCTCTGGTATTGGTGTTGAGTCATTTGTATAGGGTATGTTGGCAATGTAGATTCGATGAACCAGTCAGGATTCAGTAATCAATCGCTTTCTATCCATCTATCTTACTCATTAGAATTGTAACTCTATCCCCCACCCCATTGTGTGTTATATATTCATGCATGAAGTAAAACTGCTGAGCTTTTTTCAAGATTAATTATCTTGTTTGAACTATATATAATTGACGAACCAGTAGATAGGGGCTAGTCGGATTATCAGAATATAAGAATGTACCTTGATGGCTTGGTGGGTCAATAAAAAGATCTTTTTATATAAAACCTACCTGGACAGGACAGTATCTTAATTACCACAGTTTCTGCCCTGTCCGGTACAAAAGAGCCTTAGTGAGTGAGGTGCCTCTTCAGTAGAATCCAACGAGTATACACTGAAGACAGACACACTTGATGAAGAGGAAAGAAAGTTGACACAAATTCTGGTTGATAACAATTATCCAGACAAGTTCATCAGGACATATAAAGTAGTCAGAACACCAAGAACCACTGTACATCTCGCCCCTAAGAAAGACATGTACATCAAGCTACCCTATATGCGGGGCATCATAGCAGCTTGATAACTAGACAAAGACTGAACGCTGCTGCGGTCAAAAAGACTTTTTATGCAGCTAATATAATAATAGAGAATGTAAAGCCAGTATATCTATCTGAGCCCTTCGAACATGCGAAAAATGACGTCACATCCCACTGTATTTACCAATTTGAATGTACGTATGGACACACACATGTAGAGAGGACTCGTCGATCTCTGCAAGTAAGTGCTGGCTGGCTTCAGAGCATATTCCTCAATGGCTCCAGAAGCAAATAGAATCATCAGAGTCCATTAGTGGTGAGAACAGGAGACCTAGCTCTTCGATTGCGAAACATATTATAGAGACAGGACATAAAATTGATGTTAGCAGATCATTTAAACCTATCTATAAAACGTGTTTGGGGCGTATCCTAAAGTTTGTGGAAGCCCTAGCTGGCAGTCAGGAAGTTTAAGCCACCTTTATGCGTTCAAAGCAATAATTAGTCGTCACACTAAACCTTCCTTGATAAATTTTGTTTTGATACCATAGCAGATGTACTATTACCTGCGTTATTTGGTTTAGTGGTTTTCATTGTTACTTTGACCTTCAATATGTCCTTTTAACTTGACCTAAGTGGTCTATTTTCTCACTTCTTAACTCTTTATTAATTCCATGAATATATATTCCTATGACAAGTCCGTGTGTGATGGATCAGATTGTTCGAAATGTGTTTTGGGCGCAAATAAACACTGCACACGATTCAGATAAATTACGTCTTCTTATTGCTTTATCTAAATTTATAAAGGGAACTAATTGTTTAAAAAAGTCTGGTTAAGGTTAAAATGATTGAACCCACTCGTGAAGATAAGTAATTTAGAGAAAAAAACAACTCAGCAATCGCAATGCATGCATTAACACACAACCACACAAAAGGCTGGTGGGAGAAATTGATTACTGAATCCTACCTGGTTCATCGAATCTACATTGCCAACATACGCTATACAAATGACTCAACACCAATACCAGAGAGATATATGGCAGATAGTTACTACAATAACCGAATGAAAAGATGAGATACAGAGTTGGATTAAATCAACACACAATCAGAATTTTGTGTGAGTGAGTGGCTGTTAGGTACTCGTCGCTAAATTATTGTTATGGTCTGGTCGAGAAACTAATAGTCCTGACGCAAGAAGGCGGAAATCAGAAGACCACTAGGTTTGCGATGATACTTCTATTTTATCACACCATAGGTAAGTAAGTCAGTAAGTGTAAGTCAGTCACACAATATTGTGAGAACGAATATATATATATCAAAATATAACAGACATGTCAACAACCACCATATATGGCTATATGTCACTAAGCAACGGACTGTCAACAAACACGCATATTATATATAATATAAGGGGAATATACATTGTTAAAGGAGACAGGTTCATACAAGTGAGATGGTCACAGACTAAGCGAGCAAACAGAAAGAGAGACCAACAGGCACACACACACATAAATATATATATATATATATATATATATATATGGATACATATCAGTGGCTTGATGTGATTACGAGCAACAGTCATTTGTGTTTGAAACGTTGTCATGACTAAATATTAATTACTGTATAACGCTGTGAGACTTTTATCAAAATAAATTTTCTCTATAGTGGACCTTTAATACACTACAGTACCCGAGTTCTATTCTTATATAAATGGAGTTTTTAATATGGGTTAAGTTAATTTCATGATGTGTCTAGTTCCTGGAATTTAAATGAAAATGTACGCCACTTTTGGTAAAAAAATATCTCATTTTTGTAAATTAATTTGCAATTTTTAATTCACACAGTTCGACAAGGTGAAATCTCGCCATGGTGTTTCCTTTGAGTACTGAAAGCGTAGCTGGGTACGAATATGTCACCTATTCGATACCACAAATGGAAGTCAAGGAGTTCTCAAGAGTTCCTTTATAGAGTTTTTCATTTATTTTCAAGTTTGACGATGAATTTATATCAGAGAATCATTAAAAAACAGTGGGGAGTACTGTCTAGTCGGTTGTTTCGTTCTAGTGCCCTGTGACTCATCGACGGTACACTCTCATTCGAATTTTGAAGTCAGCACTGTGTGGTTACAGTGTAAGCTCGTAGACTTTTCAACTATGGGGGGACCCGATCGAATGAATTGAATGAATGAATTCTACCAATTCAAGAATTAAGTGCGACTACCACCAGTCAATTTCATCATCAGTGAGTATTTGGCCTCACTTAATCCCGGCTGGATGGACTCCACTGGTGACAAATTTTTACTAGAACTCCTGGAAGCTCCGTGTAGTGGTAGCCAATCACTAGTGAGCATAAGATACATTTCCAATAAAAAGAAAGTTTAATTCCATAACGCTATGCACCACTGATTGATATAATTAGTTGAATAACATTCACATCAAGTGTTGGTTTGTAGGGATTTGATTGGTTACAGGATGTCAGGTCATTATGAAATCCTGTAACCAATCAACCAAATCCCTACAAACTAATACTTGAATATCAATGAGATGGTCACTGGCGACTGACCCTATTCAGATAAGTAGTTACTTCGGGTTCTAGTGAGAAATCGTGACCAGTAGGGTGCAGCAGGTCGGGTGTGAGGACAAATACTCGCCACCGATGACACTGGCTAATAGGGGTTGCGCTATGTTGTGAATTGGCACAAGTTAGAATTAAAGGGCCATTGGATAGGGTCCTAGTGGCGTAATGGTCTACGAGCTCTCTAGCATTATAACCAGAAGGTACTGGGTTCGAACCTCGCTGGGGTGGGTGCGCACTGATGAAGAGTCGCAAACTAGGCTGACGAAACAGATGTCCAGTACTCCCAGTTGGTTTTCCAATGGTTCTCTAACTAATGTCAGCGCATGATGAAATCCTGTAAACATTCACATCAATCGATAGTGTTGACTATCAAGCCACATCGAAGGGATCTATGCTGTGAGCGGTAGTCAAAGGAATTCTGAGCTGTGATCATTTGAACTGATTCCGACTGTATGAGCTGAGTCATCAAACCGAAAACATTGCTGAGGAGCCCCGTGACAAACGGGTGCAACTGCCTTTCAGTGTTTAGACCACTTCAGCTTTGGGTAACAAACACTGACCGGTAGTGGTAGTAGTATAGTTTTATACAGTTATCCCGTCCCTCCCTCCCTTTCTCGTGTTTGGTATGAAGCAGACCACATAGTCTAGTCGGAAGGAATACCACTTTTCTAAGGAAACTGGTGACACATTTCGCCGGCTTGAACTGTAAATTGGAAATTACGAATTTTATCTCATGTATTGCCAGTTTGTGTGCTTTGATGGCACAGAGGCAGAATGCTCGCCAACCACCCCTCATGTGGTTGAAGGAGGGTTCGATTCCTGACTGACGCACTCCTTTACCTCGCTAAGCCAGCAATGAGACTGGCAAAGAAGGAAGGTTGGACACGAGACTAGCAACCCCATCCCGTAAAAATAAACACCACTGCTGCTGAAACTTAAAGCCTCTCTAACTTGAAGTTCTATGTTCCACTAGGGACGTAAAGGAATAAAAAATTACCAGTTTGCCCAAGCAGGTGGACACAATTTGGTTGGCTACATGCCTTTTTGTTTCTTACATCGTATTAACTTAGACACTATTATGTGTATAATTGCTGATCAGCATTCAGCATAAATGAGAGGAACATGAAAGAAACAACCTCCTTCACCTACCTACCTGGGAAGCATCGTTTCAACTACAGGAGTACGGAACTGAGGAGGATATCAAAGCAAGGTTCGGGAAAGCACGACAAGCTTTCATTACTCTAAAGTCTGTGAGGAAATCAACAACACTCAGCATGAAAATGAAAATAAGATCCGGATTTTCAACTCCAATGCGAAGTCAGTGCAACTCACTGCACGGATCAGAGACTTGACCAGCGCGTCATAAAGAGCACCTCAAACAAACTTCAGACCTTCATCAACAGCTGTCTTCGCTCAACACTCAAGATCACATGGCCGGCTAGAATAGGTCAGGAACAGGGATCTTTGGCAATGAGCGAACCAACCACGAACCTAATGTGCATCAAATATGCAGGAAGCAATGAAGTAGTATTGGCCATACCCTGGTGAAACCATCGAGTGACATCACTAGACAAGCCATCGCTCGAATGGAACCCACTAGAAAGGGAAGCGGCGAGTTGGTCGTGAGGGTGACTTGAAGGAGTAGGTGATGTGAAGAGGAGATGAAAGCATGTAGGCAGATGTGGAGCCAGGTGAAAACTTTAGCAGAGAACCGAACACAATGGAGACGTTTGGTTGAAGCCGTATGTTTCTCTAGGAATTAAAGGAAATAATAGTAATAATTCGGTGATACAAGATTTTTGACATTACTTTATATTCTAGAAGAATTAGAGTTTTTTGTCATTCATTACTAATCTATTTTATTTATTTCTGTATTTTTTCCTATTATCAGCTTGTAGTCAAGGGAACTGTGTTCGCAAGATTTCTACCTGAACAAAAAGCTCAATTGATTGAAGCTCTCCAATCGGTTGGTTATTTTGTTTCAATGTGTGGCGATGGGGCTAATGATTGTGGTGCACTGAAGGTGGCACATGCTGGAATTGCACTAAGTGAAGCTGAGGCCAGTGTTGCTAGTCCGTTTACATCGAAACAACAGAATATCAGTTGTGTGCTAACCCTTATTCGTGAAGGTCGTTGTGCGTTAACTACTAGTTTTGGGGCATTTAAATTTATGGTTGGCTATTCAATGATTCAATTTTTTTCAGCCATCCTTTTGTATTATGTAAGTTTATTTATTGTATGTGTTATCTCTGACAGTTTCCAAGTATAATATGTATTAGTGTGAATCGTGTCTAATGATTGAATTATTATTGTTGTTCCCTTGGTTCCAAATGGAATATAGGGCTTCAACAATACATCTCTAATTTTTTCTGATGTTATGTTGTCTAAGCTAGCTGGATAGTTAATTTGCGAAGCTTTCATCGCCCCTCCCCTACTCGGCTACGTCTACAGTGCATACTTAAATTCAGTCAAGTGAGGTTTTAGATTTCTCCACGAGTTTATTAATCATCTCTCCTGGTGGAAACGTTCAAAGTGATTGGTTGTTCTTGTGTGTTTTCACACACTCTGGGCTACTTGTATTGTACAGGAACTGATTGTTTCTTTGACTTGAACTTCGACCCTTTGAGTGTTTGAGGTTTCTTTCTTATCGGTTGATAAACTTTGTTAATCTCGATGATTCACTGGAATACCAGGCGGGTTTCTAAAAGTTCTCTAGCATTCCCGGAATTTCTTCAGTCTAATATTTGAAGACTGGTTGTCCCAGTCGAATTGATGTCCGTGGCTGTCTGTATTCAGGGATATGCGTGACGGAGTGGATTTCATGTCTTTTGACAGCTAGCTTATGTTTGTGGATACGAAGACGAAGAGGACGTCCACTTTGGCCAATGCCGTCAAAGGACATGACACCCACTTCCTTATATCGCTGCATACAGACAACCACGGACATCAATTCGACTGGGACAACCAACGTCCAAATATTAGACAGAGGAAATAACAAGAATGCTAGAGAATTTTTAGAAGCTTGGTATTCCAATGAATCATCAATCAATAGAAACATAGAAATAGACAAAATTTACCAACCGATAAGAAAGAAACCTCACACACAAATTCAAAGTAACAATCAATTCCAGTACAATACAAGTAGTCTAAAAGATGTGAAAACACAGAAAACAACGAATTACGTTCAAGGTCGCCCACCAGGAGGAATGACTAATGAACTCCTGGAGAAATCTAAAAGCTCATTTCAATTCGAATTAAATCTTCAGCGCATACTTCAATTCGAATTGAAGTGAACTTTTAGAATTCTCCACAAGTTTTTCGCCTAGTAGGGCGATGAAAGTTTCATAACGAAGCCATCTCTACTTTATTCTTTTTTCTGCTGGCCTCTTTAACTAAGCCCAAGATTACCTATTATCTTTCGTCTACTGTTCGCATGAGAACTTAATCTACACCAAGTTTCGGGCGTAAATCGAATCAAGCGAAGTGGAAGCTTGAACTCACGTGAAAAGAAACTCATTGGTGTTCATTCAAGGTCATTGGTGAGGAGTCACTCCGTTGTCGCTTAGAGTGTTTCCATTGTTGGTCGTAAAGATTTCTGTAGATTTTTACCAAGAAAAGCTTAAAGTTAAAATCAACTAAACGAGAATTATTCACTCTCAGAGGATAATAAAAACGACAAATAGTAGAAAGGATCTCTATTAGTAGTAGTAGTATTAGAAGTAGTGAATACATACAATTGGTGGATGGTGGCTAGCAGTGGAATCCAGGATGCGCATTCCGTCTTATTTGGGACTCGTCAGCTGGATGTACGTGCATTTCTCAGTGAATGAGTGATGATGTTTCCGCCGAGGCTCGAACCCAGTGCCCATAGTTTCAAACGCCAAAGCGTTATCCACTAGACCACTTGGGCCACGAGAGCCACCTCTTGTGCAACGGGTCATATTATTATTGAATTGAATTTTCGATTTTCCCGTTGATTGATTGGACCGAAGTGCTCGGTCTCAGGTTGACATGTCGGCTTCTTGTGCAGATGCTTCGACGATTTCTGGGGATTTGATTTGTATACAATTGGTGGATGGTGGCTAGCAGTGGAATCCAGGATGCACATTTCGTCCTATTTGGGACTCGTCAGCTGGATGTACCTGCATTTCTCAGTGAATGAGTGTTATGTACTCGTCGCTAAATTATTGTTATGGACTGGTCGAGAAACTAATAGTCCTGACGCGAGAAGGCGGAAATCAGAAGACCACTAGGTTTGCGTTGATACTTCTATTGTCCAAACACAAGGAGACGAGAATAAATGGTCTCACACCAAAGTGGTAAGTAAGTAAAGTAGTTGTAAAGTAAAGTCAAGTAGTTCACACAAATTGTGAATGCGAATATATATAATAATTCAGACAAGCGTGGGAAAAATCATTAGACAGTCTTAACATGAATGGCTAATTATAATGGAGTGTCGATCCAATTATACATAGCGAATATAGCAGACATGCCAACAAACATATATGGATATATGTCACCAAGCAACGGACTGTCAACAAACACTCATATATAATATAATATAAGGAGAATACACATTATTAAAGGAGACAAGTCCATACAAGTGAAGTGGTCACAGACTAACCGAGCAAACAGAAAGAGAGACCAACATGCACACACACACATAAATATATATATGTGGATACATATCAATGAGTGATGCTGTTCCCACCGAGTCTCGAACCCAGTACCAAAATGCACATCCTGGATTCCACTACTAGCCACCATCCACCAATTGTATACTAATTAAATACCCAGACGTCGTCGAAGCATCTGCACAAGAAGCCGACATGTCAACCTGAGACCGAGCACTTCGGTCCAATCAATCGACGGGAAAATCAAAAATTCAATTCAGTAGTGAATACATTTCTAAAAAAATGTTTGCATGATCAATATTGTCTTCATTCCATCGTGTAATTAAAAAATGACAACAAGTGTGTGATTCAGTTCGTAACTTTCTAGGATTCTTATTGTTGTTGTTGTCGTCAGTTTTGCTGAAGTCTTCAATTTCTCTGCTTTGACAAATTTAAACTCATATTTTTTTTCATGTGATCTATGTGCGTAGAATGTTTTTTTCAAGACAAAAAAAATAGTTGACTTAAAAGTGAATCACATTTATTGTTATTATTATTAAAAATAATTGTTTTTGATGAATTATGTGTTTGTGTGTGTGTGTGTGACGAATTATACTTTATTTACCAGTTGTAGCTAATGGAAAAGAAACGATTATTTCTTTTTTCAATCTGCTTCTTAATTGTATAAATGTGTTGGAATTGATAGTGTTCTCTGAGCTCCTTGGTTTAATTGCGGAGCTTTCATCGTCTTTCTGGACGACATCTTCAGCGCAGTATTTAGGATAAAGTGAAATGATTTAAATTTCTTCATGAGTCTCCCGGTAACCATCTTTAGATATTTATTGACCGTTTTCTATTGATTGGGAGGGATTTGATTAGTTTCAGGATTTCATCATGAGCTGACATTAGTTAGAGAACCATTGGAAAACCGACTGGGAGTACTGGACATCTGTTTCGTCCAACTAGTTTGGGACTCTTCAGCAGTACGAACCCACCAACACGGTTCGAACCCAGGACCTTCCGATTACAAGGCGAGCTCGTATAGCATTAAGCCACTGGGACCCGATTCAATGGTCCTTGAATTCTAACTTCTGCCAATTCACGACATAGCGCGACCCTAGCCAATGTCTTCGGCGAGTATTTGTCCTCACACCCGACCCGCTGCACCCTACTGGTCACGACTTCCCACAGGAACCCAGGTAACTACCTACCTGAATAGGGCCAGTCGCCAGTGAGCATCTCATTGGTATTCAAGTGTTGGTTTGCAGGGATTTGATTGGTTTCAGGATTTCATCATGAGCTGACATTAGTTAGAGAACCATTGGAGTAGGTGTTGGTATTCTCATTAAGACTCAGATCCAGACGCCAAAGCGCGATTCACTTCAACCAAGATAACCACCTCTTATGCAACGTGCATCAGCCATTATTTGTATTCAAGTCAGTTTGGATAATATTTTGGCATTTGAAACGATGGGTAAACTGGATTCGAGTTCCGATGGAAAGGGGGGGGGCAACACCATTAATCACTGACTGACTGAGGAATGTGGGTACATCCAGCTGACTGAAAAGTCTAAAACAGGACAGAATAACTGTTGGTTGGGATTTCACGGGTAGTAGTCACCATCCATCAAACTACTTCAAGTTAATCTTCCGACATCGTCGAAAGTGTCTGTCCTAGGAGTGAACTGACGCATTAACTGAGTAGACCGAGGATTACTGCCCAATTAATCAGATAATGTAATGGCGCTTGGTTTCTGGAACAGGTTATGAGCCACACATAGTGATGTGACAGTTGATGAAATGACTTAGTTGCCTAGGCTGTGAAATAGATGGAGAGATAAATTTGAACCTGAAACCGACTGACTAAAAGTTGAGTCATAAAGCCGAATAATCCACCTCTCTATCACATCCATCATTTTCACTACCAGGATTTTCTAACAATCCACAGATGATGTTACAGGATTTCATCATGTTCCGACGTTGGTTAAATAAGCATTGGGAAACCAGTAGGAAGTACTAGACAGCTTTTTCGCCCTAGTTCGGGATTCTTCATCAGTAAGCACTCCCTGGAGTTCGTTCCCAGAATCTTCCGGTTACAAGGTGAGCTCATAGACAATTCAGCCACTAAAACCCGATCCAATGACTAATCTACGCTGTAGCGCTAGTAGTCGCCCGTAGGTATAGGAGGTCGGGTGTTAAGACATTGGCTAGTAGTCGCGCTAAAATAACTAATTGGTGGACTTTGGAATTTGTGGTCTGGGTCCATTGGATATAATCTCAGCGACTGGAATGGTCTACGAGCTTGCCTTGTAACCAGGAGGTCGTGGATTCGAACTCCGGCTGTGGGTGCGTACTGATGAGGAGACCTAAGCCAGATGGATGAAACAGCTGTCTACTACTTCCTTCCTAACCGATGTCAGGTCATGTTGAGATCCTTGCAAACTAACACTTGAATCCATAGTTGTATTCAAAAATGTTTATTATTATGAAATGAAATACTGATGGAGTATTTTCGATTGCAGACTAGCTTGCAATGTGGCCACCATGCTAGGTGGCTGACCGTTACGACTTGCCTTCCACCTAGGTTACGTGCTAGTTTGCACTCATCAGCAAGGCATATCTACAACCTTGAAGGAACAACTCATGTCCCTCCTTCTGAGATTCGAACCCGCGTCACATTACACTAATTACTGACTAGTATGCAGTCAAAAATATCCAATACAGTCCTACAGAGGAGGTCAATCACGAGCCAGTCAGAATAGCTCAGTGGTAACGTTGCTGACTGCAGCACTGCACTGGGTGAAGCGGGTTCGAATCTAAGAAGGAGGGACATGAATTGTTCCTTCAAGGTGGTTGCAGATACGCCTTGCTGACTGATTGACTGACTGGTGTGAGTGCCAACTAGCACGAAACCTAGGTGTAGTCAAGGCTTCCTGTGGCCGGATTGCCTTCAACCATCTAATACTAATAGAGTATGTATTAAAATGAAATGCTTACAATATAAGTTTTGCGTAACATCATTGAACTTTGTGAACTACTAGCGTGTCCTTTCAATATGTGACTTAAAATGATTTGGGTTATCATTTTTCTAAAAAAAAAAACAATAATTGAAAATCTCGTTAAAAAAGATCAGGTCAAAACATTCATCTGTTAACGTGATTTGTATGTTCTCACTGTATGTGTGTGTGTGTGTGTGTGATGTGATACATGACATTCAGGGTGAAAAAAATATAACTGAAGTCAAAGATTAATTATTTTATGGTTTTATTTTGAAATTGTGAATTTGCTCTTCTTCTCTCATGTTCTTTATTTTGAATGGAATCATTGTTTTTTTTCTTTAAAAAAAAACTTTTTTATCTTTTCTCTTTTATTTTCTCTCTCATAGATTGGCAGCAATATTTCAGATTTTCAATTTTTATACATCGACTTTTTTCTTATCACAACTCTTGGTTTAACATGTAAGTTGTTGAAATGTATTCATTTCGTCTTTTCTTTTTGTTGTTGTTGTTGTTGTTGTATTCTATTTTACAATTTGTCAGTGTGTGACGGTGTGAGAGTGGTATATGAGAGTGAAGTTAATGGTAGGCGTGTGTGTGTGTGTGTGTGTGTGTGTTGACCACCACTCCATTGATTTGAGCTGATGATAATCACTGACGAAATCTCAGCACTGATATAAATAAGGCTTGTGTGCGATTTGCCAACCTGGCGTGTAGACCTGATACCCTTCGTTTACGGCTTAGAATATGGCAGATGACATAGTCCTGTTAGGGGAGGATGCTGAAAAAATGCAGAGTCTTCTGAACACCCTGAGCAGCAATCTTCGTATGTTTGGCATGCGATTCGCCCCTGTAAAATGTAAGATGCTGCTACAGGACTGGACTACGTCAACTCCTAGCTTAGTGATAAGGAGTGAAGTGATAGAACATGTTGACCACTTCACCTATTTGGGAAGTTGTATCAGCACCAACGGACTGATTGGCGACGAAATCTCAGCACGGATCCGAAAAGCTTGAGCTGCTTTCGCTGACTTACACCATCTCTGGCGTAGGCGTGACATCCTGCTGGCTATCAACCAAGGGACGTGTGTACTGCTCATCAGTTCGCTCCGACCTTCTCTATGGCTCTGAAACATGGCCAATACGCGTTGAAGACATGAAAAGGTTGACTGCTTTCGATCATAGATGTCTGCGATCTCTGTCTCACGTTAGGTGGTTTAATAAGGTAAGTAATGTTGACATTAGGCGTAGAGTGTTGGGCAAAGAGGGAAAATCAATCGACGAGGCTATAAAGTTACATAGACTGAGATGGCTAGGTCACGTGCTGCGCATGCCTAACCATCGCCTCCCCCCACGGGCATTACTAGCTGATATAGGTGCAGGTTGGAAAAGAGTAAGTGATGGCCGAACAAAAACATGGCACCAATCCATGAAATCCTTGACAGTTAAACTGCAGACTTCTGGGTTGGGGCCCTCGGGACTCTAAGAATCAATGGCTGGAGACAATAGGTGATGACATGGCTCAAAATCGTTGTCAATGGCTCAGATGTGTTCAGTCTCTGTAATCTTTCATATTCCTGTTTTCCATTACCCATTCAGAATCACTCGTATACTTGTCAAACTTTATTGATTCTCTTCACTCATCTTCTTGTCTACCTTTGTGTGTGGTATTTAGAACGGGGCAACTCGAACTGCTGGACTTCGGTGCCAAGTTCTATGTTGAATCCAGACAGACAGACGATACGAAGTCATTTTTCTGCAGCTTTTCGATGACTGATTGACTGACTGGTTTCAACATAGAACTTTGCACCGATGTGCACCAGTTCAAGTCGCTACACTCCCTCCATGTAGCACACAAAGCAAGAGAAGAAGGTAAAAAGAAATGCATAATAGAGACAGTAAACAGAGGTGTGAAGCAAAGAAATAGAAGTAACGAAGAACAATATAGTTTCATTGGAAATCATAAGTCACAAGGAGTGGATGCATCCGCGACAGCCATTGAGAACGATGAGTTTGAACCAGTCAGGAAGTCTACATCTTCCTACGTGGCTGGTTGACTTAAACTAACTGTTGTGGATTTCACTGACTGATGAAGCCATGTTTTGGTTTGACCATAACGTGCTAGCTCTTTTCCAGCCTTACCCTATGTCAGCTAGCACTGCCGGTCGAGGAAGGCGATGACTAGGGATACGTAACACATATGCTAACCATTTTTACTTTACTTTACTTCGGCTATCTCCTACGGGAGGATGAACCGGCTTCATGAACATCTCGAATGTTTGCAAGAGAGTTGATGAAGTTTCATGGGAATTTGGTACGAGTGATGTCCCCAGAATCGCTCGGCCTTTTGTTTGAGAGTGCAACTCTAGCCTTTACACAACCAAGTGTGACCTACAAGGCAGTAGGAGTGGAGTAGGGAGTCCACTATCCATTGGCAGCCGGTGACCGGAGTCCGGTTCATACGCCTTTTTGAATGGGGACAGGCATCCAGGGCATCCAATAAGCCCTTTGTCCATACGTCTGACGGTGAGCTTCATACGCCAGTCGTTGGAGGTTTGGAATCAGGGTTTAGCCATCTCCCCTAGACTGTCATCCAATGGACAGTCAACCCGGTGAAGAGCGCCGGGCGTCAGCTTTCGCCCTCTCACTTCGGTGAAATAAACACCTCCGCCACATGAAGGCAGTGAGTAGGACTTCCTCAGGAGAGGCTATGTAAGACGCACGGTCATATGGGAGCATTTCGAGAGGTGTACGGAGAGGTGGCCAACCCGCAGCGCAAGACACCCACCCCCGACCATCCTGAGGCTTTGAAGGCTATGCTAACCATCTCAGTCTACGTAACTTCACAGCCTTGTCGATTGATTTTCCCTCATTGACTAGCAATCAGTCGACGCCTAACCTCAATATTGTTCACCTTATTATACCACTTCACACGGGAGATAGAACGCATGTGCCTATGATCGAAGACAGCTAATCTTTTCATGTCTTCCACTGTCAATGGCCAGGTCTTACAGCTAGTCATGAAGGAGGAGGGAGCGGACTGATGAGCAGTACACCCGCCCTTTGGTCGATAGCAAGTCGGATATCACGTCTACTAATCTAGAGACGGCGTAAACTGGCATATGCGAAAGTAGTCCTCTCTATCCGTTCTGAGATTTCGTCAGAAATCAACCCGTTGGGGCTGGATTGGTCAACGTGGTCTACCACTTCACTCCTTATTTCTAAACTAGGAGTCAGTGCGAATCGCATGCTAAACATTGGTAGATTGCAGCTTAAGGTGTTCAAAAGACTCTGCATTTTGTCAGCGTCTTCACGCAAAAGGGAGGACTATATCGTCTGCATATTCTAAGGCAACGACATTGTTCCCTGGTAGCAAGTCAATCGGCTTTTTAGTTCTATGAGACATGGATCAAGTTATACAGATCCATCAGATTTTTAACACCTTTTGACTTCTTCTTGTCAGTTGTCCTCAGCTTTGTTTGTACAATCGACTAAATGTGATGTGAAGAGTTGTACTGGTATTGACAACTGCCAACAGGACTGAGGAATATGGCTAGGCCTTAGCTTAAACATCTGGGTTCGAACTTCGCTCTGTCTTCTTCAGTCTAGGCAGCTAGTTGACTCAGAGCCTCTGGCTACTGCTGCATGAATGAATTTTCATTGACTACTCACCAACTACTAACTGAAATTTGTCATCCACATTGACTATTCTTTTCACGATACATTTCATAAAGGTAATAAACTATTTCCATACTTCATGCTTTACAGTTTTTGTACACTTTACACTTTCCAGTGTTACTACTTTGCAATACACACACATGCACACCACGTAGTTGAAGTCGCAAACGTAGATTACTTTTTTTTTACCACCTCGGATTACTTGTTGTGTTTGTTACTTATGCTTTTTATGCTTTAAAATCTACCAAAATCTGGACATATGATCCTCACAATATTTCACAAAAAAAGTATTTTTTTCAAAATTGACTTTTAAATTCTTACTAGTTTCTGTGTTGTTGCATTTTTTTTTAAAGAACAAAAAAACTTTCTGGTTTGAAAACATCAGAAACTTTTCTTGTCTAATGTAAAAATATGATACTTTGCGTGTGTGTGTGTGTGTGTGATTTTCTCCTGATGAGTCCTTCTTCTTTTTGTAGTACGTTGAAAGTGGAACAAAAAAGCCGAAAGAAAGAACACCGTCAGTCATTCAGATATATATATACACACACACAGGCACGCAACAGTGGTGTATTTCAAGACATTGATTGACATGGGCAATTTGTTTTTTTTTTTTGGTTTAACTAACTAATTGTTTTACATGAGCATTGATTAGTAGTCAGTTCTATTTTGTGTTTTTTAATTGTTTTTTTTGAAGTATTGGTTTTGTAGAGATTTGGTTTGATTGTATGCAGGATTTAATCATGAGCTGACATCAGTTAGAGAACCACTGGAAAGCTTGGGGGTATTGGGCAGCTGTTTCGTCCTAGTTTGGGACTCCTCATCAATACGCACCCACCGCCACGGTTCGAACCCAGGACCTTCTGGTTACAAGGCGAGCTCGTAGACCATTGAGCCACTGGAACACCCGATCCAATGGTTCTTGAATTCTAACTTCTGTCAATTCACGACATAGCTTGTTTGCTTCTAAACTTTCTGTATACTGAATACTAATTATGGATGTGGGGGTAAAGAGAATGTATTCGTGATCGATTTCCCCGGTCAATGTACTTCTGAACTTTGCTCAGATGGTTGTAAACTCGCTCGATAAGGAAGAGCGTTTGGTGTGGTGTTAGGCGGCTGGCAACCTCATTCTCTAGGAAATGACACCACAACTAATGAGACGTCAAGACTGAAGCTTGAAGCCCTATATATCCACTCCGGACACAAAGAGTTTGGTTTTGTAAGGATTAGATTTGTTTATACGAGTTTGATCACGGATTGATATCAGTTAGAGAACCAGTGAAGACCACCAAGGAGTACTGGACAGCTGTTTCATCCCAGTTTAGGAATGATTGGCAGGACGCACCCATCACTGCGGTTTGAACCCAGGATCTTCCAGCTACAAGGCGAGCTAGCTCGTATACGATTCAGCTACTGGGACCCGATTCAATGGCTATCCCATGAATTCTAACTTCTACCAATTCTTGATGCATGTAGCGCGAACATAATTTAGATGTCATCGGTGCGACATCCATCTCCATCCTCACAGTTGACTGAATGGACGTCACTGGTCACGACTTCTCACTAGAACCGCAGGAAACTCTGTCCTGTAGCCAAGTCACTAGCGAGCATCAGATTAATCTTCAAGATATTGGTTTGTAAGGATTATTTTTGTTGATACCAGTTTGACATGGTGGTTTTCAGGGGTTCTCTAACTGATATCGATTTGTGGTCGAACTCGTGTATACATATAAATGTATGATTGATCTCTTGGGTTCCTTCTGGAACATATAGATTCAGTAGGA